GGCTCAAGCCGTATTGGATAATCGACAAGCACGTTGACGGTGTGCCTTTGGTGCTGATGTCTGTATGTCTGTGCTTATGAATTTTGCCAGTCATTGACCTGGCAGACGACCGAGGTAATATACATTGGAATTGCAATATTCATGCCTGTTTCGACTCCAATTAAAAGCGAATGCGTCTCAATGAGTCGACCACCACGGGTTCTCTGAAGGAGATGCCGATGTAGTCCGGCTCGTGAGAAGCTCTGCACGTTCCTTTTGCTGCCCTAAAACTCGCCTGACCTCGTCGAGCGCGAGTGCTTCCGGGCCCATTCCTTTGCTTCCTGCTCCCTGCCTCTCCCTCCTGTCCTCCCTCCCCACCTTCGAAAAGCCAGCGTCCAATGGTTGAACGGTCAATGTATGCAGTTGGCGGATTCTTGTGACATGCATTTTTTTCAGAAGTGCCGGTCAAGATGTTTTGGTAGATCCATTGCGCAGGAGCCAGGCCTCACTGCAGCACTGTCAGCCATGAGAGCCTCTGTGAAGAAGGCAGGATGGACATGGGTTGATGCTCGAACACGATACGTCGTGGAGTGAAGAATTGCGAGTGAGATTTGCACAGGTTTCAGAAATGCGGCATGGCAAAGCATCAACCATGTAGACAGTCTTTTGGCAGGTTGGCCGCGGGAGCAAGACCCCGGTTACAAGCCTCGCTGGCCAAGTTGAAGCCGCTCAGCGCGGAGAGTGCGGGAGTTGGGGGAGCACCACAACTCCGGATGGGGCCGAGGCTTCTGACACAGTTCGACCGCTTGTCGTAGAAATCATACTTCACCTCGCCATGCTGGGAAGTTGACTGAGTGTTTGCCGTGGCTGGTGAGAGGCAAGCTGCGTGCAGCTGCTACCGGCCAACGGAGGCGATGTCGCGGCGCAGCTAGCGCGGCAGTTGGCAAAGGTGCCGGACATACGCGGAAGCATGTCCGCGTGTTTCACCGTTGCAACAGTTTGCCTTGCTGATCGTCCTTTCGCATTGGGTGACATGATTTCCTCTTGCACTGCAGAAGCAAGGGCACCCGAGAGGTCCTGCAGTCTGCTGCAGCGCGCCAGAGAGCCTCCGCCTGGGAGCGTTGGCGAACCCTTCCAGTGGCCTGGCTTTCATGTCCATCATTATGCTTCGTTTCTTTGCAAAGGACGATGAAACAAGCGGACTGTGATCGTTGGTTCAGCCAGGTCATTGTTCGAGCTTTGTCTCGGGAGCGCCAGAGGCTTGAGGCCACAGCCTCATGTGCCAAATCTTTCTGATTTCTGGTTGTAATGGATGCTAGCAGGACGAGTGGCGATCCTGGGTGGGGGAGGTCTGGAGCGTACTCTTTGCAAGCTGTCATGAGCTCGCTGCATCAAGGGGCATTGCTTGGACGTGTCAAGAAAAGAATAGGACAGAGCCCTTTCGGCAGAGCTGGCTGCAGCCGCTGAGATTGCAGTGGAGCATGCAAGGCCTGACCTGTGGCGTGTGCTCATAAAATATTGTAAAGTTCATCGCATCTGCTAGTCTGCTTGTTATGTTTGTGGAATGGATGTCATTCGGCTGAAGGTTCCGTGCACTCGCTACCCTCGCTGCTACAACAACAGGGGCATCAAGGTCTGCACTGAGGCGACAACTGTATCGATGGCATCGCCAGGTGACTTGCCGCCATAAAGAGCAGAAGACACGACACGTTGTGCAGAGAAGAGATGTGTTGTGGCCTTTTTGTGCCGTTGTCGTCCTCGGTTTTCCCGATCGCGTGCGTCGATTCCAAATGACGCGAGATGCTTGATGACAAGTTTCGGGGCATTTCGGGGCATTCAGAACGAGTCATGCCAAGTTTCCTCGAGCCAAGGCGCGCCAAGAGTCTTTCGAGCTCAAGGCAAGCAGAACGTGGCGCCACCGCAGGCCTTGGAAAGAAGACGTGACATGGAACAAGACTTCATGCTATCTCGAGTGTTTGTGGCATGGTGCAGTAGAAGCTACCAGCCGGAAGTAGGCATGAGGTTTTGCACGACAAGCTCCGGTTTCGAGCGGTCTGAGAAGCTTTAATTACTTGAGTATGACAAGGGCAACCAACACTGCATTGCCGTGACTGGGGAGGCTGCTTAGCTGCTGGACTTCGTGGAAGGCTCGTGATCGGTGTAGTCTTGCCCATGGCCTACTCTGATACCGTCTTGGGGCCGGGGTCCTCGCTTACTGCGTGTCCGCGTGAGTCATTTCGCCGTTGGTTTTGCTTTGCTCGAAGTGCCGCTGCCTTGGCTGACGCCCTTACTTTGGTTGAAGGCATGGCTGAAAACTCCGCCGTTCCGGGCCTCACAGCTTTGCGGAAAGGGGCCAAGTCGTGGTCGACGCAGGGAGGGCGGGCTCAGAGAGCTGTGTCTCAGTGCCAAGGCGCCTGCTTTGTCGAGAGATCAATCGGCAAACTGGTTCAGAAGCAAGTGCTACGAGCTCTCCAGCAGCTTGCGACATGTCTGAGACCGTTGCTGGACAGCATTCAAGCACATGGCCTTCCAATTTTTGCGATCTCGGCAGCCTTGCCTTAGCCTGCACTTCTAGGTCGCAGGTCTCCAAAAAATGTACGGCCTGGCCACAGACTGGGGAGCTCAGGCGATGAAGTAGGAATTGAGGGTTGCTCGTCAGAGAGCCCTTTCAAAGCAGGAAACTAAGATCTGCTTTTGCTTGTCAGGATGCTGGAAGGGGACGGTGTGGATGTTGCGGGCTCAAGACACCGGGCACCCAGCTTGCGCGGCTTGTCAATACCTCAGGACGAGGCGGCTTTGGCAGACCGTGCCGACCGCTTGATGAGGCTCAAGGCCGTTCCAGTCAGAGGGGAAGACTGAAGGCACGACCCAGCTGACACGTGTCGAAGGTTCGACTGGCGTGGCATGCACCTTGGCGAAGTTGCCGCTGCACGCCTTTCTTAGGGGGTTTCTTGGGCCTGTGCAATGTGCCTGGGCCAGGCCGACTTTGCGCACCGCTGCTTCGGGGCAGTCGCCTGGAAGTTATGTGCTAGTCTGTAGCCAGCGGGTCAGTCGGACGTATCTTAGGCAAGTAAACTCCCTCAAGCTCCCCATTCCCGCCACAAGGACCGCAGCTAGTCACATCCGAAACGTAACAAGAAAGGCCCTCAAAACATTTTTGCCAGCCAGGACTCCTTGGTTAGCTTGAAGCAGCGCTTGGACAGGTGGGTCGCAGCCAGTCCCAGCTCCGTAAAGTTGGAGGGTCTCTTGCTGCAGGGGGGCCGGCTGCTTGATGGAATACACTCTGGCCTCCTTATTTCGTGGACATCTTCGCTGGGACGCTGTGCCTGCAATCGGCTCTATGACTTCGCCTTTAACTTGTCGCACAAGCCCACGGGCAGTTACTTGTTGTGTTTCGCGTGCATCCCGAGGCCTTGAATTCGCTGCTGTCTGCTGCGGCCACATCAGCTGTACAGAAGCCAAGGCACGAAAAAGCCTTCAAACCCGCACTCTTCTGTCATGCCAGTCTTGCTTCACCCGTGCAGTTCCTCCCTTGTGCCTCTTCCGTGCTTGCAGGAGTATGTGCAGCAAGAAACATGTTTCCAATCCGAGGCATCGACTTCTTCCTGCTGCAGCTCCTGCACTGATTTGGGCCTAGCGCGGGCTCGTGTATCTCTGTGCAGGCGGAGGTGGTGCTCCATTGGCGGGGAGTCGCTTTCTGCACGATTCGCTGACAGACATGCGAATATCGGACAAAGAAGCCGACAAAAAGTTTGTGGTGCATCGCAGTGTCCTCATTGACCGATGTTGCCTTCGGGCAGCCTGCAGCGCACGAGGCGCTTGTGACATCGCTTGGCTTTGCTGAACCTTCTCTGGCAAAACCCAGAAGCTGCAACGGCTTGCTACCGGCTCAATGTCGAGTCGCGGCACTCTTGTAGATGCTCCTTTGGGATCGAGTCGAGGAGCTATGAAGACAACAGGCCAGCATCCTGCTACATCACAAGTTTGAGAGGCCCATCTAAAACAGCTTCTTTTGCTGCGCTCGTGGTCCTCGCGGGTCATGCATGCAGCGTTGCCGCCTTTGTGACTCGTTGCTGTTCGTCGGTTATGATTGTGTCGATTGAAGAGCTTTCCGCGCAGTCCAGAAGCACCGCAGAATCCAAGCCTCAGGAAACAGCAAACGAGATTAGGATCCATCAGGTGGAACAACTCAGCGTCACCGGTTCACTATTGACTTGGTGGAGAGGTCGAGTGTATTAGTTGCTTCAGCTTCGTTTCAGGGTCGACCGTGATTTCTCGCTTCAATACAGGTAGCTGGTAGCTTTGCTGTTAGTCGGGCTGGTGCAAACTGAAGTAGGAGTCAGACACCCTGAGCTGGCAGCCGTCTTGTTGCACTATCAGTGGAATTGCTTTAGGAGCTTTTTTTCTGACCATTTTGTTAAGCCGACCTTGCATAGACTGGCGAGAAACTCGAGAAAGAAGTTAACATGCCTAACATGTTTCCCGAAACGAGTGGACATGCTAGCAGGCCAGACATATGGTACAGGTGCACGGGAGCTCGGCATCATGAAACACGTAAGCAAACACAAGTAAGCTCCATCCAACAATGCCAGCTGCAGACCTCGAAAATGAGTGCTTTCATGCTACTGCAGATCACGCAGCAACTTGCCGAGCGAATGCTTGACAACTGGGAATCACACGTGTTTGTCTGGAGAATCCAAAGGGAGCGTAGCCAAAACTCGCTTAACAGGTGCTGTGGGTCGCAATGCGCGGCCGCGCGTGAGACGCCCTCGGATGATGTCCCAGTGAGTGGCACATTCTGCAGAGCTTGTCGAGGAGGTGCTCAGTGCTTCAATGGCTTTGCGTGGCTTACATATCCCATCTGGAAAATGAGAGATGACAATGACTAGTTCGCAACATGACGATGCCACTCAAGCTCCATGTTGCAATCATGACATGGAGGCCTTCACTAGTGAGATGAACTTACCGACAGGCAGCAGCACATGATCTAGGCCTGCTGTGCCCATGCATCCCATGGAGCTATGCAGTCGCAGGGAGGCGCTGCTTTCGCCTGGGGCAGTCAGGCAGCTAAGCTTTGTTTGGCAAGTCTCTGCCATGACCCGCCCGTGTCGTTTGTGGGCTTCCATACTAAAGATCACTTTTGAAGTCGCAGTCTCCTCTTCTTCGACGACAGATGGCGACAAGGGTGACGAGCGCACCAGTAAGAACAGCAGCCTCAGCACTAACAGCAGGACCAGCAGAAGGACCAGAATCCGGCATATCAGCAGCATCAGCACACCTCCAAAAGGATGTTTTGTCATGTTTCTGCCTCTGCAATAAGAGTCCGGAGCCAAGCTAGTAGAGTTCGAATCTGGGTTTCTTGGGCCAGCGGGGTCTTCTTTCAGCTCAATTGAGCTTTCATCTAAGCAAGATTTTTCCCGTTCTGGCCGCTGGATTCTGCGCATACGCGGGGAGGGGGGGGAGTTTTCCAGCTAACTACGTTCTAGGAGTTGGATTTTGCAATTACGCGGGGGCCTTTCTTAAAAGGAGGTTGGCAGCAATGGGATTTCCCACATTTGCAAGGTCCCCAAATGGACAAGGATACCACGCCTCCAAGCCTTCATGAATCGAAGCAGCTCCCCAGAAAGGGCCAGGATGCTTGCAACCATGCTGAATTCGACGTTTGTTTTACGCTGGTGGGCCCTCTGTCTCGCAAACCTCCCGAAGCTCGTGTCATTTAGCAGTGTAGCGACCATCCTAGGGTGCAGCAGCACTAGCAGCACCAGCAGCACCGGCAGCACATCAAACCAAATACATGTTGTTGCTGTTTCCTCTGTGCTGCGATTAGTGTTACTGCCATGTTACTGCCCCGGCCAGATGGCAAAGATGTCGCATGCCTGGTGTTGTCTCTTTAGGCTTTGTCGAACATTGTGTCGTGCAAGTAGGAAAGATCGAAAACTGGGCTTCCAGACGCGCTGATATCCCGAGGCACAAGCCTATTCGCCTTTGCCGCTCCGGCAACCAGACCGCACCAGAACACGCCTGGTCAAATCCAGCCTCATTCAAGACGCAGCTAAGGGCTGCGACATTGCAGCTGAGCAGCCAGGATGAGGACTTGTCGCCACGTTCACCCAGGCAGGCGGCAAGCACACTCAGTGTCTCTACCAGACTCCGCCTCTGCGCCGAAGAACGTCTTTGTTTATGATGTGCTATTGATTTCTCACAGGTAGCATACAGGACAGCATAAAATGACGGAGTTGAGGACGCCTCGGTCCATCCCATCACAGGGAGGTGCGCGGCTAGTGCTCCAGCTGCATTGAGACTGTCTGTTTGCAGCCTATACACTTGCAAGCTGTCGCCCGGGCTCTTGATGCGCTTGTGGCTCTGAACCTTGCCGCGCAGCTCATGCAGTGCAGTCATAGTGAAAGCTCGTGAGCCCATGCCGAAAGTTTACAGATGCTTTGCCTTGTCGTCCAAGGCTTGTTCGTCGCCAGTGAGTGCATCCCGACTGATCAGTCAGTGTTGCTAGTTTCGTCTTGGGAGCATGGTTAAAGAAGCTCTCTGCAGCAAGGGCTCCGTCTTGCCTCTAGCAGACGAGGATGAGGCTGGGGTTGGCTTCTGCTGCTTGACAAACAATGATCGTGCATTGCTCGCCTTGTCAAGATTCTTTTGGGAGGCCTGCTGCGACTTGAGTCGCTTCGCAGCTCCGATTGGCATGGCTGTGCCGCTGCTGCTCTATGTCGCCTTGTGGATCGTCGGTGCCACAGCTTCCGGACGAGTACAGGGGCCGCGAGGGCGCGCATGCTGCTGTCTTCCAGTGACCTTTAGGTCTACTGGACCAGTGACAATGATGCGGTGCGGCCAACTCTTCTGCGTGTGCTTCTGTGCTGCACGGTGCCTTTGCTGCAGGATTTTGCATGCTCACATTCTTCCTGCTGCTGTGTCCGAGTCGCAGTTGCATCTCAATTTGCATCGATTCCAATGCCGAGGCCGTGATTGTGGCTGTGAGCATTTTCGTTTTCTCCGCCAAGGCAGGCAGGTTCACAGCAGCACTGTGCCAGGCCACTGAGTAAGTCCGTCCGTGCATCATGCGCACGTCTTGTTCTCTGAAGCCTGCCTGGTTGCTTACTGGGTTGATTCGATCTGCCGCACCCACACCAGGCCATCATGGGCTCTAGGGTTGCGAATGGATTGAAAGCTCTGAGTGATCTGGCGCCTTATCGGCAATCTAGCTTTTGGAGTTGTCTGTTTGCTGGTGTTAGCTCTATCGGCTGACAGTGAGGTACTGAAAATGGAGTCGAGAGTGGATTCAGTGTATGCTCCGCGGAAGCAATTTGCCGAGAGTCTTAAGGGGCAGCACGAGTCGCGCGCAAAACCGATCATGCGTTCATTTCTTTTGATGCATTTGCCAGGTGGATATCCACGAAGGAATCATCTGCATAGACGGCCTCGAGCTGAAGAATCCTCAGAACCGCGAGTGGCGATCTCCTTATCTGCTCACTGCGAAGCGTACCCTGGCCTATGACACATTGCTTTGCTGGAGCATGCGGTGAGGTATGCTACTTCCCAAAGCATAACTTGTGTCCGCTGGCCCAGGGATTCGATGTCACGTTCTCTTCCGCGACTTCGCAAAGTCCAAGTTCCGACACCTCACGGTGCAGGAGCTCAACATCTCTGGACCCTTGGCTGATCGGAGCTTGGAGCCAGCACACATCGCGCGCCGAGCTTTTGATTATCCTGGTCTTTACACATCGTACAACCTGAAGACCTTTCCGAGTTCCACAGCTGACCGTGGTAATCTCTCGGGTAAATAAACTTGGCTGCCTGGCTGTCTTGCTTGCCAATGAAATCCTTTACTGGCCCTTTCCTTGCCGAGGTGTGGAGCTCATGTACGAGAAGACATTTGACTCCTCGTGCCGTGGCCGCAGTTTGTGGCCGAAGGGAACTAAATGCTTCTTCGGCCGTGTAGCAGATGTCAGCCCTGCTGCAACAGAACGTGCATGCCAGCACGCTCGCCAAAAAACAGCACACAGACGAACAGACATAGCTATACTTAGGTATAGATATAGACACAGAGCTAGGCATCGATTTAGCTGGCAGCATGAAGGCATAGACATGGGTATTGAGATACAGGTATAGAAATGGCTTTAAGTCGAAAGATAGATATGGACATGTGCATGAACATGTACATACATGTATGTATCCGTGTATGTGTGTGTACCTGTGCACAGAGGAGTATTAATATGTGTATGTGCTGCAATGCATATTTTTCTAAGTGTATGTGCGTGTCTATGAATATGTACGTGCCCATGTATATTTGTATCTGTACATATGTATGTGCACATGGCGGCGTAAGCTAGAGGTGCTTTTGTCATGTACTGTAGATAACTTGCAAGTTGGTTTAGCACAGCGTTCGGGTTGGGGACACACGAGCCGAGCAAGAACTGGGATCATGACCTGGCCAGTGTCAAGCAATCCATGCAGGTGCACGCGCAACTGCCTGCTCGCCTACTTCTCTTTTGAACTTAACTAGTGGTTGGGTCTCAAAATGCTTGCCGTGCGTGCCCGCTGAATGAGTCTGGAAGTAAGGATATGTGGGGGTACATCTTGAAGCACCATCTGCACCGCTAGGAATGTCAATGATGTTCTGAACAAGATTGCGGAGGTCAAGGACAATCTCAAGCCTGAAAAGAAGCTTCACAGCATCGGGCAGCTGAGAGTATCCTGCTGCGAGGGAAGCTTGTGCACCCCGGGTTTCTGTCAGTTGCACCATTGGGGTTCTGGAACCATGCTGTTCTGAATAATTATATGGCTGGAGCCATTCGCGAACCATCTGTGTTCAGCCAAGGGACACTCCACCAAAGCTGACGTTTCGACGCGTCGTGGTTGAGGACGGTGCCATGTCGTTACATCCCCGACAGTTCAAGCAGTCGTGGACAGCAGGGCCTGCTCACGAGACGCTCCGGAGAAAACTTTGCTCGTTGGCTAGAGTGTTGGGTGGTGCCTGTCACCGAGCACTATCAGGACATTGCCGTACGGCTGCAGGGGCTCGTTGCGGCCATGGCCGGAGGGCGAGGGAACCTCTCACAGTCTCGAGCACGCCAATGCAAGAGGGCGAAGTAAAGAAAAGCGTCGAAGCTGGCTCCTGGCTCCCTGCGAGGCCAACATTACCACAGCTGATCTGCGGTATGAGGACTTCTCTGAGGAGGTTCGTGTTGGGAACATGACCGTTTGTTCGCTATTGCGATCTGAGAGCTGGCCTTCTTGTGATGCTCTAGCAGGTGGGACCGGTTGGCCCGGAATTCCTGATAGTAACTTGGTGATCATCTGGGAGCTATGCTGTGCACAGAACACGTATCTGATGATAGCTGCTGCTTCTCAAGGTTCTTTTGCTCAAGACCGTCCTGAAGTCGGCGCTGAGTAACGCAGTGGCAGTTTGATGGCAACGCAACCTATGCTTGAGAGCTTCGGAGCTTCTCAGCCCCTGTGGCAAGCGCTTTCCATGCGAGAGGATAGTGTCAAATATTCGATGTCTGTCCGAAGGCAACCTGCTGGGCCTCAACGCTTTTCGGAACTTGTTTGGGTACGGCTTCCACGACGACGCCTGAACAGCAAAAGCACAACAGATCGGCCAAAGCGACTGCTTGTGGGGTTGCTTTCCATGTGACCTTGGTTGCCATATTGAAGCATTTGATGCTGTAAGGGAGCTGCATGTGTAGCCTGCTGGGTTGCGCTCCTGTTCCGATCCAGCTTTTTCAAAGTCACAATCAGATCATATGCGCCGTTTCCTCGAAAGGTATTTGTGCAGGTCAGCTGGTTGACCAGCTTGATTTCCTGTGCAGTACAGGGTCGAGCAGCATTACATGCATTCGAGGAGGCCGAGTAAGCAGAAACCGTAATGCGTTGCAACGTATTGTGGCACAATCACTACAGCAACGGCCTCGGGTTTTCTGGTAGTGCGGTGTCTTTAGTTACGTATCGCCACGATTCGTTTGCCAAAGTCTCGTCGCAAAGTATGGTTTCGAGAACGAGGCCATTTTGGCACTCTGTAGCTTCGTTGTCATGGTCTTGCAGTGCCCTTGGCCGGTTATCCGGTTGTTCCGATGCCTCCAGAAGTGTGCAGATAGTAGGCCGCGTCGCTGGCATGTGCAAAGCACTTGCAGAGCAGACGCCGAGTTCAGCTCTGTTTCGCTCGCGCCATCTACAGAGTCAGTTTCCAAGCGCCGATGTGTCAGGCCAGTTCAGGACAAGATGGTGATTCCAGTGGAAGATGACAGCTCCGAAACGCAAGAATAAGGCCTTCGAGCGAACTCTCCATCAGCATCTGGCTGCTGGCTGGTTGCTTGGAGGTTTCCTTGACGGCGCGTCGGTATGCAAAGCAGACCACGACCCGACGAATCGTGGAGTCGACTGGCTCTGTTGTTCTCGAGCGAACGATCTAGATTCACTAGAATGGTGTTGTGAAGGGCGAGCTTTGCCGTCCTCCGTGTTTCCCGGCTGGGAAGATCTCATGCCGACTTTCTTGTTGGACCGCTCATGTTGCGCACCTGAAGCAACTGTCACTGTAGCACGAAGGAGTGCTGCCGCTGTTTCGGCTCGCGCAAGAGCTTGCCACAAAAGTGCTTCGCAAGGGAGGCATAGCGCACCTGCAATCCGTTCGGTCCCGCGCCAGCTGCGTCCACAATTTTCGTACCATTGTGCGGCCACCGACCATGCCAAGGCTCGCCGCAGCTTGCACAGCAGGCACGTGCTTTCGTGACTGGAGGAGTATCTCATGTCTCGAAAGACACATTGAGTGGCACCGGCTGAAGCTTGCAGCTAGCAAGCTGAGGGGCATTGGTATGGGGCTTGGCCACCGCGACGGCTGCATCTCGGCGAAGTCATGGAATCTCCGAATTCTGTTATGTCAGACAACCTAATTTGATGTAGCTGGACCGCGGCATGTACAGGGTTGTGGAATAAACTTGCAGGAAACCAGGCTTCTTCGTGCTCTAACAACGGAAGGTCAAGTCGTGGACCGTTGGTGCAATCAGGACACAACCATTTCACAGATGCTCTATGCCTCTAGGCAAGTGCAAAGCAACGACTCACTGCGGCGGTTCAACCTTGGGGTGCAATTCAATTTCGGATGTCTTCGGGCAGGCTGGTTCCGCCTCCAATGTGAGAGTGTCGATGTAGCTAAGGCGCAAGAGGTTAGCAGGAGCTTCTTGTGGCTGGGCAGCACTAGAAAAAGACTTGATCGGTGGCGGTCGCTGGAACCATCGAGGTCCGTGCCTGTGCCTTCACGGCAGCAGGCAGATTTCGAAGCCTGCAGAGACAGCAGGACCGTTCGTGTGCTTTGTGCCAGATGCTTTGTTTCCAGGTTGGACGTCGCAGCTGGATGGCGGCTCTTGTCGTGCCAGGGCACGCGCGAGGGTAGGGCAGAAGAGGAGTTCACCCACACTGCCCGGCGAGAAGGCTTGCGCACGCCGAAGTTGACAATCCGCTCCCGCCACCCGTGGTCAAGGCATCTGTACATCACGTAGAAACGGCTGCAGCCTCCAGCAACGGCACCGTGATTGAGATTTGCTAAGGATCTAGAGAGAGCCGCTCCCAAGATCCAAGGAGGTGGGGCACGTGCCAAGAGATTCTCCGAGCTATACCTTCTTCCGGCCTGATTCGGAGGCATCGACTGGTTCTACTTTGAGTTGCTCCCGGCAATCAAAAAGGAGGAGTCTAAAGCCAGATTCGGTCGTCAAGTTGCATCTGGCGTTGAAGCACCCGGGTGCTACCGAAGCCTTCTGCAGCCCAGGGCTCAACATGATGAGAAGTACATGGGATCGACCAGCCGACGACCCCCCTCCCCCCTTGGCATTTTTCATGCCCTGGGCCGATCAGCTGGATGTCAACGCCGAGAAAAAGTGCACGAGCCCGACTTCCAGATCTTAATTTGCCAGGGTCCCAAGCAGGTGTTGGCTGAATTGTCGAACACAAACAAGCCGACATGCCCTGCTCCCCTTCCGGGGCAGAAGTCTGCGAAGATAGCTTAACAGCGATAACGGCCGCAACGAGCCTGCTTGCTGCAAAACCCAGAGCCCATGGATGTTGCAATGGAGCTTGACTCGGCCAAGCCCGCCCGGCCACTGCCTGACGCGGCAGAACTCCGGGCCGAGCTGCACGAGGCCTTTCCTCGGGTTCTCGGCATCTTCTTGCCTGTGCCCTGTGTGAGGCTGTGCTGCGTCTCAGCTTCGCAGAGCTCCACAGCAGCACCCAGCGCCTTAGCTGCCTTGGCTGCTGCAGCAGATCAGCAGGATAAAGGAGAGCACGGAACGTGCTGGGTGCGATTGGCGCCGGGTTCAGTGTGGGTTGGGGTCGCTCACTGTACACCTGCAGAGGGGAAGTGAAGGACGAGAGGGGAGGAAGGGCCAGACTGTCAGAACGCGTTTTCCGAGGTGGGCCTCCGAGCTGCTGGCAGCGCTGCCACCTGGAGGAGTCTGACGGTGATGCGAAGCGTCAAGCCGCTAAGGACTCGCCATGAATCTCCGCAAGACTTACCAGGAGCGGACGAAGCTTCGCCGGCTTCGGCCCCGTCAATCTCGCCGACGCTGCCGCGGAGTCTTTGCAGCCCAGTGCTCCTTGCCAAGGCCTTTGAAGACCCGGGAAACATGGACATGTCCATTCCCTTGGCCTAGCTGTCTAGCGGTCTAGGCTCCACTTGACTTCAACAACAGATGGTGCAGATGTACGCTCGCTGAACAACCCCACAGCAGTCGAGGGAGGAGTTCCCTTCGCGAAGCTGTCGAGAAACGCGCGGTGTTCACCTGTGCTCCTATCTCGCCCTCCTCCATTCTTGCTACACGACAGTAGCAGCAGCAGCGATGGGTTGCAAGACAGCCAACAGCCAATGCAGCGGCTTTGTTCCAGAAGGGGGCCTTCAAGGATTCGACCACAGATGTCAGTGGGAAGAGACAGGGCAGAAGGTCACATATCCCCATGTATCTACATCTATCTACATAGGTATGTATCAAAAGCAACATCTCTGTAATCGCTTCCGGGTCTGCTGGGCGTGAGACCAGGCCCACTTCGGCATGCGTGAGTACTCTCGGGCTGCCCATGTTCTGCAGGGAGGTCCCCTGCCTTAGATCTCTGGTGAGAGTCGACCTTCAAGTTCTGACTATCGAGCTGATGTGGTGCTTCTGTGTGGCACAAACTCAAAGGGGGTCGCATTGAACCGAAGACCCTGCAGTCGCGGAGCTCTAGACACATTGCTGTGGTTCATTTGGTGCGTCCAGGTCCTGCTCAGAGCCAGGACCTGCATTCCGCACCGTGGCCAGTGTTCTTCAGGCTGGAAGTTGTTTCGAGTGTGGGGGTCGGTGGCGACGGGGCGCACGACAGACATGTGCTCAGCACGAGAGTGCAGGGTTCGGGGATGACCCGGGCCCAACAGCGAAGGAAGTTCTTGAGAAATCTGGCTCCAACATGTTTGGTCGCACTCGGCCGAAGGATTGCGCGACTCACGGCCCGCGGGAAGGGGTGTAATTCTGGCGCACTGCTTCTGTGACAGTTTTCAGGACAAAGAGAGAGCCACAATGGGACAGAAAGTGGGTAGGCTTCCTGAGACACCTTGACAGGTCCTATGCCCTCTACTTAGCGGGGGAAAAGCGGCGAGAGGAAGATGCAGCAGAGGCGCCGGAATCCCTGCTTCTGGGTACACAAGTGTATTCGGCACTTGGTCTGACCTCGTCACACCGCTCGAAGCAGAGCTGTGTCGCACGTTTTCCGAGAGAGTGTGCTGTTTCAAGGAGACCTCAAGCTAGTAAGCTGGCACATTGAACCGAGCTTTGATATACTCCGCGAACTTGTTAATACCTAAGAAGACTGCGTGATTGCATGTGCGCAAATTCATCGTGGTTTCAGACTGGAACATTAGTATGTTTGAGCCATCTCATGGCACTGCTGTGGCAGATTCCGCCGTGTGCGCTGAATGCTGATGTGATTATGCCAAACTCTTCTGCTGTAGAAAGCTGCGTCAACAGGTCAAGGTCGCTTGAACAAGAGGTCGGTCCAGTCGAAAAGATGAATTGGAGCCACAAGCCAGGGAATCCGCCTCGTTTTGGAAGCCAGCGTTGAACCGCTTCAAGCTCCCTCAAGGAAAAAGGCCTCAGAGTGAGAGAGATGCTTGACAAGAAGAGTAAATGGAAGGAGAAAGGAGTAGTACAGCGGGACTGCGGCAAGATATGTGTGGCTCACGGCGAAGATGAGGTCTAGTTTGGGAAGAAGCCAAGGGTCGCATGACCTGTAAGGCTGCATTTTACGCAGTTTCAAGCACTGTGCCGAATGTCAGCAGGTGTCAGACCCAGCAGAGGCGAGCCGCATCCACAACACCGAGCTGCAGCTCGTTGTTATATCAGTCATTCCCTTCGACAGTAGGGCGCACGCAAGGAATCAGTAGCCGAGGAAGACGCTGGAAGAAGATCTTTCTGCACTGTACCGACAACAGAAGCTGGATGGTCTGAGCTGCTCGTCAGCTTTGGAGATCGGCAGTCTTGCCTTCCCACACGAACCAAGCTCCGGAGGCCTTTATGTGTACGGCATCGTACTGAAAGGCTTGGTGTCTCGGCTCGCAGATTGGCGACCAGCTTTCAGCACAGCGGATGAGAGGCTTCCAAACTAAGGAGCTGAAAGAGGATGCCCGACGAGTCGCGAAGCTTTCCATTCTGTTTGCATGCTAGGTTAGGTACACTACTGTGATACTGAGCAGTCAGGGGCCAAGTGTTGAGGTTCTTCTGGAGTCTGTCCATGCTTTTCCCTGCAATTGGTCGGCGTGGTTGGACATCATCAGCCACTCTGTTGTCTTGGGGGCCGCGAGGTGGTGATGTTTTTTTTTGAAGACTGGCAAATTTCAAGGTATCTCTGCGGACTTACATGACGTCAACGGTCGCTGCGAGGATGTGAGGTGGACGTCTGCAGACGTGCATGTTGCAATTTCTGGTAGCTTCTGCCAAGCATTCAATGTTGCAGTTTGAGGCTGGTAGCTGGTGGTAGCTGATGCTGACAGGCTGCCACCCCATTGGATGTCCTTGTTCTTCGAGGCGGCGCTGCAGCTGGCCACATGACGGACGATTATTTTGTGTCTCATGTCACTTGATGACATGGCTTGCCGTTTCGACGACCTTTCGCCAAGGAGCTTCAGAGGAACGACAGTGCAAAAGAGCTTTACGTTGCACTCCGAGCTTCTTTCCCTGAGTCTGCCTACATCGCCTCGCAGATAGCAACCTGCTTCTACAACCTTCGGACTCAGGGCATAATTACCGAGTTATCTCTCAGACTTTGCTTTATAGCCGACGATGACGCTTGACTCGGTAACCCCCAGGAACTTCGATGCCTCGCAGCTGGCTTTCGAAGAGCTCCGTCGGCGAGATCCCTATCGACTTTCGTTGCCTGACTGCGCATAGAGACGGCTTTACCTCATCAATGAACTCCCTGCCCGCTCGTCTGCTAGGTCTCTGGATACATACTCGAACATCCTCTTCGTGAAGGACAGCCGCTGTCATGTCAACTTCCTCACAAGTAGTCTTCGTAAACAAAACTCCGGGGCTGCATGGTGTTGTTGTTTGCAATCTTTTTGCTGTTGCAGAAATTTAAAGAGCCCTCAGAGACATCCGTCAGACGGCCGAACACCGAACATCACCCTCTAGACATGGCGTATTCCTGAAGAAACCAACAACTTCATGATCTGAAGCAGGTTCAGTCCTAACCTGCTGAGTCTCAAACCTTCCTTGACAACATGAGCATGGCAGTGCAGCTTAGGCGCCCATACGAGTTCGAGTCTTTGAAACTGATTTAAGCGTCGAGTGGGGGCCTTCAAAGCTTTGGGTGCCACCCACCCGCCAAGGGCACATTGGATTTGACATGTGACGTGTGCAGCTTGAGGGGAATGGCTTCTTGTGCCATTTGGCGGAGGTGGCCCCTTATGTGATGCCGGTGGGTGATGTGCGTGAGTGTGGTGGACTCTAGAGTAACTTGCTCCTGTCTCCGTGCTTGCATCC